GCATCACTGTTTAAAAGGAAAACAAGTGAGATATTCCCAGGGCACTGAGAAAAAATGACAGGATGTACCTACAGTGACAAAGTGGCTAAAAGATTCCAGGTCATCTGGGCTGCACTGCTGGGTCGCAGTCTTGCATCTTACTGGCCTGCTGCAGCCTCTCAGAAGGCTGATCCCTAAAACTCCCACCTACCTAAGAACCCTCCCACCACTCAAGATTTATTTTAACCCACTAACCCTCACCTCGCTTGTCTGATATGAAGACATGGTCATGATATTGGGATAAATGACAGAATCCATGGCAAATTAATGACTAAGTCTCTGATGTCCCTCCAAAGCCTCCAGAAGTAGTTCACAGAAAAGAAGGAGGCAAGGGTAAAGGTAAAACACAGCCTAACGTTCTCCATACTCCTAAAGGAGTAGTGCTAAGCAGATTCTCTTTCCTTGTTAATCACATTCATCTTTGATCCTGAGAACATCAAGCTTGCAATGGGTAAGCGTAGGCCATCTGGCAGCTGCTATCCCTAATACTTTAAGCAAGCAGTTGGCTATCCTGGAGACTGAATATGGGAGAAGACTGTAGCTGACCAGGGGAGAAAAGTCAGCAGGATGGGATGGGCAGAGTGATCCCTTTTCCCCATACTCTAAGCCAGAAGTTCATAGGAAAAAGGAAGCAGGCTTGGGCCTCACTTTAACCAAGATGCTATAAAAACTATGCCTATTCTGTACCATTAGAGGATAGAGCAAATGTATACACTCCTGGGGCTACAGGGATTGATAACATAGTCATGGCCCCAGTGGATGACTCCCCAACTCATAGCTCCCCTTTCTTTGGGATGTGTCCTAATACTTGGGAGTGAGTCCCCAGCACAGTTGTTACCCTTTGGCCTGCCTCACTGGCAGCCAGGCTCAAGCAGTTTGCAAATCCTGCAGCGGAGGTTCCTAGGGTTGTCCTGGTCTCTGTGCTTTCTGACACTTAGTTGCTAATTTTCATGGGTTCTGTCATTTCTCCCACTATCTTTCCAATCTCTTGATCCTCAGCCTTTTCGTTCACTGATTTAAAATGCCCGAGTCATTGTAGAACATTTGGAATGCGTCTTGTTTTCAGAGGTCTGGGGTAATGAGCGGACAGTGATGACAATATTCCACACCCTCGTCCAAATCAACATAATTCCTCTCTTGAGTCACTAGAGCCAACCCTCTAGAAGATCCCACTGCTTCTACTCTTGCTTTACTCTATTTATTCTCTGGAAAGTACACACTGACATTTTAACCAGCTGAGTCACTCCTCTGACTAGAACTCTTCGATGGCTTTCCAGTGTTCTAAGAATAAAAGCTAAAATTTGCAGTTTGGTCCTTCCTGCAGTTCCTTGCCCAAACTCCTCCTGTGTCAGCACCAACACATATGACAGTCCCCATCTGGAATCCTTTTCTCCCTATCCTGCCTCATCAGGGGACTTGTCTCCAATTTAAATTATGATGTTTTTTAATGTAGTAGCATCTACTCGTTTCCTTCACAGCTCTTATTGGAGCTTGTAATTACAATATTCATTTTAGTGCCTCCATTTTTCTCCCAGCAATAGCCATAGAGCCTAGTACAGAAACTGGCAGACAGCAGGTACCCAAATATTTGACAGATGATTAAATAGGAAGAGATTGGCATGGCTAGAGATGGTTGAGATGTAAGATAAGAACCTGAATTTGTGTGCTAATGATAGAAAAGGACAAGGTAGATTTAGTTTCAAGAGAAAAATCAGCAGAACTTGATGACAGGTGGTAGGAAGGAGATAATGCTTTGTTAGCTAAACATGCTAGCTAACTTGGAGAGGAAGGAGTGGAAGAAAACCAAATTTTGAAGCTGGGGTGACTATTGGTTAGATTAGGGGGAATACGATATTTATGTTGGGTTTGGACATATTAGTGGGAGATGACCAAGGGACATCAAAGCAGAATTGTTTAGAAAGTTGCAAAGGGGGAAGCTGGAGCTCCAGTGGGCCAAAAGCATAAGAGAGAAACTCAGAGCAAGTTGTTCACAGAAGTGAGAATCAAAGAAAGATTTACCTCACTTATTGTTAATTTTCTTTTAATAAAATTTGTTATTTTGAAGTACCCTCTGCACCTTGAACCCACAACCCTGAGATCAAGAGTCGCACGCTCCACTGACTGAGCCAGCCAGGTGCCCCTACCTCATTTTAAAATAAGATATTCACATCAAAAGGATGGGTAGGGGGCACACCTCGTGCAATGGTAAGGACTAGCACCCGTATCTTTGATACATGAAGAAACAGAAATCCAGAGAAGCAAAGTGATCTGCTCAAGGTCACACAGCAAGTCAGTGAAAACACATTCTCACACCCACTTTTCCTGACTTGGAAGGTCCAGTTTTCTTTGCATCAGAATTCATAAACCTCCTGAATTTTCAAACATGCCCGCTTTACAGCAGACACTCAATACCATTTCCTGATAGTCAAAGCAGACAAATAAAAGGCGGGAATTTCATTTCCTTAGTTTATTGAAGATGACAACAGACTGTTAGGCTGTGTATGAATTACAGCGAGTAGAAATCCAGTTCAGAACACGAGTTGTACATGAACAGAACATCTCTATTTAGACTCCTGCTCCTTTTATGTTAATTAACCGAAGCTCTAAAGCCTTGGCAGAGAAAGTCAATAACAGCCTCATTAAAGTGGAAAATACCTGCCTTCCACTCTTCTGCTATGTCTTGAACCTTGTCTCTACCTTGTAAGCCAACTTGTAACTTTTTCCCCTTTATTTATAAAAAAGAACTTCTTCCCTCCCATTTCATTTAGAAGGAATGCTCTTCAGTGCATTCAAACTTTTCCCCACAACAGCTGGGGGTTTTTAGATACTGCTATAAGTTGCAAAGTGCTTTCAAAACATCCCATACTCACTCTTCTCTCTCTTTCCTCTCAAATAAATAAATAAATGGGTATTTGGATAGTAATGACAGCAGAGTGTCAGGGTCCCTAAAACAGCTATGCAATCTAAGAAGATGGAATGGGGAAGGTGGAGAAAAATAAGTGAAAAACCAGGAGTCTGTAAGATCGTTGAGCTCAACTTTGGAAACTGTCAGTTTTCCATCCTTTGGTCCTCTGCTAATACAAAACAGGCGGGACAATAATGACAGTGCCTCTCTCCTCCAGTGTAGTGACTTAAGACTAAGGAGCTAGATGTGTAATGTATACCAAAACTGGACACAGAGCTCAGCTTTTTTCTTTAACAAACCCCTGAGTTTGAATCTGAGGCCTAACCCTTAGTAAGACTTGAGTAGTATGAGGCCATTCCCAAAGCTCTTTGAAGGGCAACGGAGCTCCTAGTTAGCCCCTCAAAACCAGGCTGGGCTACAGGACTTGGCCTCAGAGCCTCCTCTATGACTTGAAGGGAGAAGAGCCTCAGGGTCTTCTGGCCTGATCCTAAGTCTGAGGAAGAGAGACCAATGCCATGGGTCACTTATTCCCTGCTACCTCTGGCCCAGGTGAAGCCTCAGCTCTGGTCATTACCCTACAGCCCCTTCCACTTCCTGTGAGACTCCCGGCTGTCTCCAGCTCAGTCACTCATCAGCTTCAGCCGACTGTGTGCTGCTTTCTGTTCAGCTTCTTGGGGCAGCATCCAAACCAAGTTTTTTCTACCAGCAGCCAATTGTGGAAAGACAGGTATACAAGAAGTCAGGCCCAGGGAAAAAGTGCTGTGGGCTCTTGTTCACAGAGCTACCAGCCCTCAGAACAGCAGCCCTGACCGGCATTCTAGGTGGGGGTCGGGGCTACGGCAACGTAAAAAACACCACAAACATATTCACGGTCCCATCAAAATGCACATTTTAAGAAAAGGTATGTTAAAGATTTGTTAAAATTAGTAATATGAAAAGAATGAGTGAACATATGGCTATCACCAGACTACAGAATTCAGTGCATAATAGGAACATTCACACTCACACTCACACCCACAAATGGCCAAGTTTTCTCACCCCACTAATGGCAGAAATCTCCCTGCCCCCACCTTGATTTTAACAAAAGAAACTAAGGCAAGAGTTCAGCCACCAAGGAGGGTCCCAGCTCTGATGCAGGAAGGGGATGAGAATAGAGTGGGGCCATACCTTCACTCAGAACCAAAATGACCGTCTAACAGAGAACACAGTGGCAAGAGACCCACAAATAAGACGGTGGATGGAGTTTCTGTTTGCAGCTTAGGATGGCATCGGGGACTTGCCTGAGCTTGAAAGATCATATCTGCACCAGAGCTAGGTTGACTAAAAGAGACCTTATCACGTAAGAGGAGGCCAACAGCTCCTCTGACTGAATAAATGCTCTTGAAGCAACAGAGCTGCAGCTTCGCTTCTGACTGGTGGAAGGCCATGAAGGGGCCTGGCTTAAGTAACAGTTCTGTTTCTTTGCTTCAACCCCACCAGGGTAAAGAAAGTCAGTCTGTGACATCTTTGATGCCTAGACAGTCTCAAACAAGGAGGTCAAGGTGGCCTCAGGGTCATTGAGGATTCCAGGTAAGAATGCTATTTTCACGGCCTCACAAAGACCTACATAAGTTGGACAGGATGCCCACGATGCAGTCCCATTCTCTGCAGCTTCTCCTCAGGGCCCAGTCTGACTCCATTCCAGGACAGAGAGAGAAAACTCCATCCTCCTATTTCAGCAGCAAAGGAGAAGTCAGTTGGTTGCAAAAGGCCTGACTTAGAAGCTCCAGAACTAAAACAAAATAAAACCAGAAATGATACTTGAAATGCAGCTGAAACCAGATCTGGTCCAAGTAGAGAAGGCCACGGATGTCAGAAGAATCAGGTCTCACCGTCCATTCCCGACAGAGGCACTAGAAGCTTCACATAAGGACTCATGTGTCAGTTCTGATGGAAATACCCGGTACCTACAAATTATCACAACAGATTGGACCCCACCAACCTAACAAAGGTTGATTTACATGGACGTTAGACAAGTCATTAAAAAAAAAATAATGATAATGATAAGAATTAAAGGAAAAAAAAAAACCCAAGTCGGGAAAGTCCTTGAAAGGGTGGCTCAGTTCTGCATAACATGTGACCCTGGCCCCTGGAAAGAGGGTTTAATGCGCCTTCTTCAGGTGGCCTCCAGGACGGTGGCCTCTAGGGCCAAGGCTTCCGTGGGTTCCTCCTCGTAGTCTGACATGTAAGACTCCAGGCTCTGTTTGGCCAGCAGTTCCCGCCGGGCCTGCAGCCGCTCACACCGGGGACAGCTTCCAGACTTGAAACAAGCTTTATGGTAACATGCTTTACATTCTATTTGGGTTGGGAAGAGAACAGAGAACAACTTGTATTATCTCAGGCTGGAAGTAAGTCACTGTCACAGCCCCTTCTCACCACCAAGGCTTGGTATGCCCGGGCTGAAAACAGGGAGTTGTGGAGTCGAATTCAACTCCTGTTAACAGGGAAGGCTGAGGGAAATCAATTAGCCTTGGGTTCAGTCTTGTTTGCCCACTCAACAGCGGGCACTGGCCCTTACCTTCACAGGTCCGGCACTTATGGAGCTCAAAAGGAAAGATGATGTCATCCTCATTCTGACAGAACTCACAGATGAAGCCCTTGGCTTGGCAGAGCTGGGGAGGAGAGGGACAGGCAGCAAAATGAGAGGCCTCATACCAGGGACGGGGACCAGGGGATGAACACAAATGAGGGAAAGAGCAAAATATAAATAAGACTTGAATGGGTTCTCAGGGGTTCTCGTGCCTTCTGGGAAGAGAGCCAGCTGGACTCGGGAGCCTGAGAGCCAAACTGGGGCCAGGACTGGGCAGTGTGAGACAGAGCTTTAAAGTGGCTACAAGAGAGCTTGAGAAACTCCAGCCACAAGAGTGGTTTGCGACGTGGGGACAAAAAGGAAGGAATGGTGCTACAAAGGGCTTGCTGAAGTCAAAATTCCAGTGTGGGTGATGATTCTATTTTGAAACAGGAACCACAGCCAATTAAGATAAAATGTGAAGACAAGGGCATTTCTCCAAAATAACACCCAGCCTTGAGTCAGGTTAGAGCGAAGTCTCATTCCCCGTGCTACACAGGATCTCTACATATGCCCTGTTTTAGGCTCTAATTCCGGGACTGTCACAGGAACATACACCAGGCATATTCTAAGATGTGAAATTCTAAAAATGGAACTTCTGAATTTCTGGCACATTGGGTATATCAAGGACAATAATAACCTGCATCTATAGAACGAAGAGTACAAAATGCTTTCATGTAATTATGTCATCAGTTCTCAAAAATCCTGAGAGGAAAGGACAAGGGGTATTATTATCTTTGCTTTAAAGACAAGAAAATTGAGGCTTACTGCAGAGAGGGCAACATATTTCCTTTGGCCACACCGATTGAAAATGATAAAGCAGAGACCCGGTCCAGATTCTAGCTCCAGGTTCTCCTCCCACATGAGGACAATTCTATAGTGAAGGCCCCACTCAGTCCTGCCCGTTACCCAGGGGCTATGCCAGCACCACATGCTCTTCGAATTCCAGGTTCTTCAGATCTGGATGATTTAGCCCTTCCCCAGCCCAGGGAATAGCAATCCTGCCCAGTTTCTGTCATAGTGCTGACAGGCCATGTCAACTTCCTAGAAATGCATGGCAAGAACCTGAGTCCATCCTACTCTCCATATCCCTAAGGAAGACCCAGTTCCGTGCTAAAGGGAGACCATCTCACCATGCATCGCTCTACGTGGGCAGCCCCTGCCTTGGCGAGCTCAGCAAGCCGGGGCCCCAATTCCCCCTTCCTGGTTGCAGTCAAGTCATTCAGTGAGTACAGGTGAAGATCCTCAGTCAGGTGGCCTGGAACTGTGTCAAAGGAATCCAGAAGCCTACAGGAAGTGGGGAAGTAAGCAGGCACAGAAAATGAACATTTTGTGCAGCCCATCAAAACAGAGAAGCAGGACAGGGAAGAGAAGGGTCCCAGGCAGAGGCAACGAGGGTGGGCAACACTCAGCCAGCCTAGGTGTTCCAGACCACCCCAGACCCTCCACACTACTAGGTTTCTGGATAGGAGAAGGGCCTTTTATGCCCTTCTGCAAGTGATTCATGCCAGCTTGCAAAGCGTGGTAGGTCTGCCCTGGATAGAAGAACCAGAGACTTCCCCTTCCAGAGAGAAGAACAGAGACACAGTTCCTCCTATAGGTTTCTTGTTTACCATTTCTGGAGTTGTCTGCAAATCTCTCTATTCTCTCTCTTCACATAATAAGGGACAACTGCTGTGGCATGTCTCTTTCAGAGACATTAACCCAGCAAGAAGCCTCTGGCCTCCACACAAGACTTACTCTTTGGCCAGTCGGCATGTCTTGAACATGTTCTTCATATGATACAGCTGAATCCGCAGCAGCTGAAGAGGAAGATGTGGTGGTGGTTGAGTGGGGGGTAAGACCAGGTATGGAGACGAGAGAAAAAACCATTAGAATGACCAGGACCCTTGAACTATGGGGACCCAGAAGCTTTGCATGCAGCAGCCAGAGCCCAACGTTTCTCTATATCCGTAACTCAACAACTTGCTTTAAAATGACCTCCCGTCAGAGAGGCGCCCCCCTCTGCTTGGCTGGGCTCCCAAATCACATACACAACTGAGAGCCACTGAGATATCCGGAATTTGAATTTCCCACCTGCTACCCTCTCCTCCCTTGAGTATACGTTCAGTGCAGGGAGAACTTTTTATGTCACTGAGTGCCATCTATGGCTTCAGAGTGGAGGTGGGGAAGGGCGGGGACTGAGAATGTATGCAGAGAAAGCATGAGTGAGGAGATGGTTCCAGCTCTGACATGATGACAGAGAGGGGTGTGGTGACCCGGGCAAAGCCTGTATGAACAGAGGGAGGGGATGAGGGATGAGGAGGGTAATCTAGGATGTTGCCTTTCAAGGCTCTCACCCGGACTTGATTGAGCAGCTTGACCTTCCTATAGAGGGCACTGTTGATGTCCTGCACATTGAAAAGAGGATCGTTCCAGATCTTAATGAGAAGGTCCTTGGAGAAGTTGCTGACATAGTACTTGCTGAAGTCCCACTTGCGCAGAACCCGGCTGGGGATGACCATCTGGGCATTTTCATGGCAGCACTGACAGAAGTACTTGCCCAAGTACTCACAGTACCGCAGCCGCTTGATATAATCTGGAAAAACCAGAAAATCAAAGGTCAGATGTGGCTTTCCCATCTACAAGCCGGTGAGGCAGCACCCCTGCCCCTTTTCAAAGCACAGGAAGAGATGACCACCCAGCTCCATCCACCTCCGTATGCGCTCCCAAAGCTAGCAGAAACCCACAGAGTGGGGCCTGTGGTTTTTGTCCCCCCGAAGGCCACTGAGGACGCAAACCTTGCCAGAGATGGTAAGATCCAACTTCCAAGCACCTGGCCTGAAGTACCCGGTCTTCTTCAGTGCACAATGTTGGTAATGTGCCCCCAGAAATAACTTCTCTCTGATTGCCAGTGATCTTGCCTAGACCTATCTTCCAGGTCCAGGCCCCTTCTTTCCCTTTCCTAGTTCTGCTCTGCTGCCTCCTCTCACTATCTCCCTGACCAGCACCTCTGCTGAGTGTGTGAGGTGGTACAGCCGCTGGAAGTGGTATGGGGGTGCTATGGGGGTGGGAGAAGATGCTCACCAGGGTCGGTCCGAATGCCACACCCTGCGCAGCGGTAATTCTGCTTGGCCACCGCGATCTTCCTCCTGAGGAGAGGGGGAGGGGACAGCTTTGGCAGATACCAGCTACACAACGCCTCTGGCATGTCAAGGATAAGGAGGCAAAGACAGGGCTCCTGTTAAGTAAGTATGGAGAGAGGGGGAGCTCACATATTGTGTTTTAGAGTTGGACCCAACATACCCACTGGGAGAACCAATTCAAACTGAGGATTACTAGGTGAGGATTTAGGTCTAGGCAGGGACAGCCCCCAATAATGAACCACACTTCCTGTACAAATGTAAGAGATGAGAATAGGACACAGGGAAAGAACAAGAGGAAAGAAAAGCATCCATCTTAAGAGAAGAAAACCAAGAAAATCTCACAAAACTACTGGGAGGAAGGCAACAGTTGGGAAGGCCAGTGATACCAGACCTCATCTCCGGTTAGCTCTGGGAAGCAACAGGAGGAGCAGGAGTAAGACTTGTGACAAGACGGACAATCCCCTCCCTCTGCTACTGAGTAAACAGAATTGTGCAGGAGTTACGGGCGGAGGCAGAGACAAAAAGGTGAGGAGGCTACCCCGATAACCCAGAGGATGTATCCGTTTCCCAAAGGACACAGACATTGGCTACTCACGTCGGGGCTGGATGAACATTAAAAATGATCTGAGGCCGGGGTGGGGCCCACTCCAAGTTGCCACGAACACGAATCCGCAGCTTGTAGATGTCAGCATGCTGCCCGTCATCTGGTGAGATGGGCAGAGAGTCAGGGATGGGCAGGAGCTGCAGGAGAAAAGCACAGGGTGATCGAACACAGATAGTCTGGGGGAACACTGACTTGACCCGTTGGCCATCACAGAAACACAGTTAATGACAGACATTTCAAGAACACTTCAGGTAAAGGTGTTAGAGGAACCTTGGCCCTCAAAACAAACCATGAAGGCACCGGGCTACTAGAAGGGTGGGCCTTGTATTCCACGAAGCAAAAGGAACAGAAACGGCATTCCAGTGCGGTGGTACCCATTGCTGATGCTGTCCCTGAACCTACCCCAGGGCCCTTGCTATGCTATATGCAACCTGTAGAGCAAAGAAGAATATGAACAGTTCACTTTTTCAGTGTCTCAAAGGTGGTCACAGCACAGAACTTCCACCTCTGGGTCTGGTAAGCAGTCATATGGAATAAGGAGAATGAAGGAGCCATTATCTCTTATTTTGAATATTGCTAGGGAAAACCCAGGCAAGCATGTATTCATTCATTCATTCATTCATTCACTCAACACACTTGTAACAAATGGCTTCTATGAGTAAGGAAAGAAATACATAGACTCACTCTAGAAGAGGGGTATGTGACAAAAGAGAACAGCATCAGAAAGGCTCACACGCTCCTGGGGCTGGACAGTGGGAGAAAGAAACAGCTGAAGAAGAGCGCCTGGGTGGTACAGTCAGTTAAGCATCTGCCTTCAGCTCAAGTCATGATCCCAGCTCCTGGGATGGAGTCTCACATCAGGCTCCCTGCTCATCAGGGAGTCTGCATCTCCCTCTCCCTCTGACATTCCCCGTATTCATACTTGCACACACTCTCTCTTTCTGTCAAATAAATAAAATCCTTTGAAAAAAAAAAAAAAGAAGAAAAAAAAAGCTGATGCAGTCTACCTTCTGAGGGGCATCGTGCTCTGGAACTAGCCATTCCAGCTCTGAGGCAGCTGGGAGCTGCATGCCTTCGAACTGCTTCAAGAGTCCCATGGCCACTGCCTCCGCAGACGTGGAGTGAAGAAAGCAGTGAGAGCTGGAAAGGAGATTCAAGGAAGGCTGAGTGTAGAGAAAAGACAGGAAGATGGGAGCCTTCCCTCCAGGATCTGATATTATGCCTTGTGACTTCCAGGCTGAAAACACTCCCAGCACCCCCTCGGCTTGGCTTCTTTTCTCATCATCTTCAGACACACATAGAGAGGAAAATATATTGATCTTATGGTCTGAAGACTTTGGCTCAAATCCCACTTAACAGCATTATACAGCACTGTTAGTTAAGGATTCTATATCACTTCCCTTCTCAAAGTTTCAGTTTCTTTAACTGCAAAATGGGGGTTATAAGACCTGTTTACAAAATCAATGGAGTAAAACTGTCTTGCGAACAATAAAGGACGATTTGTTGCTCCCAAATGGCCCATTATTTCCCCTAGTTGGATCTACAATGTGAAATCTGTTCAATTAGATTTCATAATCAGAAATCATGATCACTGTTCTCTCTTTGGGGACCTGATCTTCTGGGGGCCTCTGGTATCATCAGAGTCAGCAGAGAAGAAACAATCCATACTGCAAACTTTTCCTCCACCAGAGACCACCCCGTTTAAACGAATGATCCCAGGGGGCTTGCCACCATCAGGTAGGCCCATCACTTTAACTTTTACCTTGTCTCTTTGTGAATGTGGCTACTTCATCTATGGCCTTTCCCATCCATACACCAAGAACTGGGTTTGTTTCTCCATATACCTAAGGTTTTATTGGGGGCAGGGAGAGTACTTACAAGGATTGAGAAGAAGTGAAGGATTTGCTGTTTGAGGCTGTGCTCCTTCTGATGTCAGCATCTAAATGGAAACCAGAGATAAGGGGAGCAGGAAATGGGAAGGGAGGAGGTAAGGGATAGTAATGGAAACCATTCCAAGCTTTTGACAGCTCAGCACTCAGGGTAGGGACTACAAGCTACATTCTACACAGGATAAGGAGCAGAGACCAAGTGAAGCTCTACACATAATTTATAGTTTGGCTCTGTTCAAGTCACAACAAGGCTGAATTAGTGACGTTATGCACAGCATGGAGACAGTCAAAATGGCTACAAATCAAGGTGGGAACACAAACTCAGATTGGTGCAAAACAGTGAATGAGAAAAGGAAGCAACCTAAGGCACACAGGGACACACCCTCTATCAAGCAGAAACACAAAGAAATTATTCCAATCTCTCCCTCATTCTCTAAATCTCAAGCCCTCTTAAATGATAAAATCTCAAGATAAGAACTCTGTCTAGCTCTTTTTTATATCAAAATCGGACTTAATGCAGAAGTTGGATCACGGAGGTAACTCATTTGATGTTAGGTGGAACTGGAGCTTTGCTCCTAACGTCTGACTACTATTGCTACTGCTTCCAAATGTGCGAAGTCTTCTGTATCCTTATAAAAGCTTCATGGGAGGATTTCCTTTCTGTCTGGTGGAACGGGAATAGAACTTCTCTTGCAGCTCCTTGGATGCCTGGTAATCAACAAATGTTCATGGAAATACTCAACACGATCTTTTCTACAGAACTCTAAGGTATAATGGCAGGAATCTATGGCAGACTTTCCAAAGCCCATTTCCGCTGAAGGATTTTGAAGAGGATTCCTAATAACGATATGCCTGAACCTCCAAGGACCTTGTCTTCCCAAATATGTTTGATGGGGAAAATGTGAAAGAGAACACTCATGTTCAAGAAAGGCAGATAGAGTGTATTCAAGTCATGAAAACAAGACTGTTGTGGTAAGTCTCATTCCTTGTTTGCTTTGATGCCTGCTGGAAAGACATTCCTTTCCTAATTAAAGCTACACAATGATTAATTTGCTGCATTTGAGCCCCTCAGTAGAGCTTTAGTTGTCATTTGGCAATTGGCCATAAGTAGCTCAACTGTTCTTCATGCTTCCTCTGTATATATATTTTTATATGTGCCACTAGATCATAAAATTTCCTTGTGAGGAAATGAGAGCATGTCTAATTCTTCTGCTTGACCCAAAATATTTAGTACAGGGCTCTCTATATAAGCCCTGTATACTCAAAGAATATTCCTAAGAAATCAATGTTTTCAAAGCTACATACACAAGAGAGCAGAATTGATGTCTGTCAATGAATTTTCATATGCTCTCTAAGCACAGAAAAGATTTAAGACAGCAACAAAACTTTTGACTAGTAAATAGCAAATTCTATTTTATTTAACAAAGTTCACCTATATCACATTTTCTATCTGACTTTATACCACCAAAATCCAGATGTCAATACATTGCTAGTTGCCTATTCCATTCTAAATAGTACTAGTGAAGGAAAAAACAATTCTAGGCAACAGCAGACCTTCACAGACCATTTGGTTTGTAGCATTTATATGAATAATACTTATACTGCTTTGAATTTGTACATAAGTCTTGTCTTGCTCTTATAAGCCTGACTGTTTTGTACATAATAGGTTTTCAGAAAATATTTCCTAAATCAATGATTAACTGGCTAAAAGAAAAAAGCAAATACCAGCCTGCTAAGGGAGTGACAGAAAGAAAAACGAGAGAAAATCTTGGATATCCTTGAATAAAGAGCTAGCCAATATTGCTACTGTAGGCCCAGGCTATTAAAGAAAATTCTGCACATCAGAGAGAAGTGGTGATAATTCATGGTTGCTAAGGAAACCATTGTCTTCGAAAAACTATTTAGTAGTTCTTCAACCTCACAGAGAAGAAGTTATTTTTTTCTTTGAGAGGAAAAAAAAAAATCATTCTCTGCTCTTTGGAATACATAGTCCAGTCCTACTTTGCCACATTTCCTCTTTTTTACCAGAGGTATGATGGCTTCCTACCTAATCATGAATACTTCCAAGAGCGTGGAGGACCACACAGGTTTGGCTGTGACACTCACCCTGGGAGCAGAGAGGGAGAAGTAGCCCCTGACATTGAAAGAGACATCCCACCTGACACTGGCCAAGTACCGTGAAGGCCCTGTGGGTCCTGGGCCTCTGCTGCATTCTGCCGACTCTCTGGCCAGTTCAAGCATGTAATCACATTAATGTGGTTGTACACTAGTTGAAGATCTGGATGAAAATTAAGGATTTTTCCAGGGTCCAAGACAGAAAATTAAGAAGTAAAGAGCAGAGGAGGCCATTCAATTGGACAGATATTAACTTAATTATGAAACTTTTAATTGATTCTTTGGCAAGGATCTGTTCCTAAGAGAACTGATTTCAAATGCTCCTGATGCTTTAGATAAGGTTATTACTACTGACTGAAAAAAATTCAAAATGACATGCTATAAGAAATTTTGCATGCCCAGACACTGGTATTGGGATGATCAGGAAAGAACTGGTTAAAACCTCGGCAAAATCTGCAAATTTTTAAACAAAGTGAGGCACAGGAAGAGATTCGACTTCAGAATTTACTGGCCAGTCTGACATTGGTTTCCTTCCTGCTTTCCTTCCAGCAGATAAGGTGATACCCAACGCACTTGAAGGTCTAACTCCATTGAATTTTCTGTAACTGCTGACGAGATAGGAAACATTTTAAAATAGAGAATCACAATTACTCTGCTTTTTAAAAAAGAAAAAAAATATTCAGAAGGGCAGTGTGGAGAGAAGCAATTGATTACCTAAATTGGACATAATTGAAAAACTTGTCAGAAAACATGGTTTATGAACTTCTGTCTTTATATATTATGCCAGTTATCAACTTATTGCCTTTCAGTTCCAAACCTGCCCTCCTTTTTGTCTGCTCCATGATGATGGAACCGGACTCATACAGTGGCCCTCCACCAGACGGCACCATGTTAAGCTTTGTCAGGAGCCGGCACTGTGGGGACATTGAGGAGGAAGGGGTTTCTCTTGCCGAGTCTGCTGTGCTCCTCTAGGCAGACTCCTGCATGTAGGACACATGACTTTCCCCTGGGGAAGCACACCTTCATGAAGGTGGAGTTCTAGCAGAGTGTCACCGGCGGAACTTCTCATAAACAGCTTACCCCGGCACCTCCTGGGAAAGCTTCAGGCAAGTGCCACAGGATTGGCACCTCCCATGCACAACCTTCCCCAGCGTCTCTCAGCTCAGTTCTGAGTATCTTGGCACCTCCCTAGTGGCTGCCTCTGCCAGCTCCCCACAGAAGGGTTTCCTGGTGCTGTTGGCCTGGTACAGCATCCCCAGGCCCTCTCTTAGGGCAGCTCTGCAGCCTTAGAGAACGAACGTATCCACCTCTAGGGAGCCAGGAGGTCTGGATCTCAGCCTTGGGGATGTGGGTACCTTCTACACGTGTTCCTTCCTGGGTGCTCTCCCTCGGGCCCAGGGATACTGACTGCTACCTGTATCTGCTATTCCTGTATTCTTTAGAGTTCTTTTCATGCCTTATGAGCCAGTCTCCTATTACTTCAGTCCCCCATGACAGTTAATAATTCTTATTTTAAATCTTCCCTATTCAAATTACTCTGTGGTTTCTGTTTCCTGATTGGACCATGACCAGATACGTGCATGTGGAAGACTGAAATTCTAGAAGAACCAACAAAGGAAGATAAAGAACAATTGATAAAGCTGTGATAAAAGGGGAAAGTGGGGTGGAGAACAAAACCCCAAACCTCAAGAGGCTGAAAAGACTGTCTGGGATTGGGAGCTTATGAATGACCTGATACCAGTGTGGCAGATACCATCAGAAGGAACTGATGAAATAAAAGCAGCCAGATGCAAAAGATCACATGTTGTAGGATCCATTTATAGGAAATGTTCAGAAAAGGCAAATCTATAGATACTAAAAGCAGATTAACAACGGACTGGGGCTTGGGGTGGGAACAGAAATTAACTGTAAATGGACACAAGTAATCTTATTGGGATGATATAAATATTCTAAAACTGGATTATGGTGATGGATGCACAACTTGGTAAATTTACTAAAAATTACTGAAAGGAGTAGGTTGATGAATATATAGCTTTCTATGAATAAGCTTTCTGTGATCACAAGGTTTATATCTACTTTATTGCTGGGAGGAAGTAATTTCCAAATCTATTTCCTTCAGAAACACTTCTGTTCCATATGCTCTACTCAATGAATCAGGATCTAAGAAATTACCATCCATAATGATGCTTAAGCATTTAAATTTTTCCAAGGGTGTTATAGATTTTAATGACCTTCCTCTGAAAGTATCCTGAGAGGTTCTTCAATAGCATAAATCACTTTGGATGATCAAAAAGATACACATCTGTAAACCTCCGGATATAATCAGAAGACTGCTAACAAGAAGTATAATGACACTTTTTAGAAAGAATTTTGTACTGTTAATAAACCAGAAATAGATGAAAAGGAAGAGAAAGCATAAAGAAGTCTAGAGTAAAGAAAGATGAAATATAAATGATATTTTCATAAATAAGAATCCATATGTAGAAAGAAGGTAAAACAAGCTACTACTTTCGAGAGAACTTGTTCTGATTGCTTTCCCTGTAACTCCCATAATGTGCTAGGATTGCGGGTACAAGAAAAAGTAGTTTTTTAGTTGTAAAATGTTTCATATATGTAAAATGTATAAATGTATAAAAATGTATGAAAAACTTTAAAGCTCCCAAAACGGGGGAAGAAAAGATGCCAGGAAGACCAAATAAAAGTCTGCCTTATGGTTAAAGCAGACGGAACACGCTCTGACAAATGGCAGGCAGTCAATCAATGTACCCACAAATGGACTGTGGTTGTAAACACATAAGAAAGCAGTTAAACAAGTGATAGGATAATTACTTCTCAAGCAAGGGAAGATGATGTTGGAATAAATTACAGCTGTTTGGGGATAGAGAAAAATGGGCCTAAATACCCTTATTTCTTCAAATCTTTACCTAATCTTACATAAGTATTTCAAATTCTAGTGGCTGACACCATCAACAGTTAAAATGAACTGTTTAGGGGCGCCTGGGTGGCTCTGCGTTAAAAGCCTCTGCCTTCGGCTCAGGTCATGATCCCAGGCTCCTATGATCGAGCCCTCATTGGCATCGGCTTTGGGCTCTCTGCTCAGCAGGGAGCCTGCTTCCCCCTCTCTCTATTCCTGCCTCTCTGCCTACTTGTAATCTCTGTCAAATAAATAAAGTATTTTTTTAAATGAACTGTTTAATAAAAAGTCCTGAGTTTTGCTGGTGTGTGTTTAAAAGCACTTTGAGTTGAAAACTGCTCCTTTCATTTAACCCCACCTACAGAAAGCCTACCCGTTTGAATCATAAATCAATTACTAAGGCCAAACATAAAGCAACAGTAAATCCTAATCGTACACAAAATACCAAGAAGAGATAGCTTTCTGCAAACTGACTCTGCAAATTAAAAACTCTAAAGACACATTCCGCTTCCATACCATTCTATCTGACTTTTGCTGTCTGAACATGTAGCCGTGGCTTAGCTAGTGGTTTGAACTAAAACCTCTTCACCTGACCATTGCTTTCTAAACTGTCTACTACCTCCATCAGTCGTAATGACCACTCAGACTATAAATATCGCTGTAGGGAAGGATCAACAAGGACGATCTCAGGAAGGAGGATTACTGGGGGTCATATGAAGAAGAAAATGAGCATTTGAAATATTCTTTGCTGGCTCAAGTCTGGTTTTCCCCAACTACTTCTCTAACCCTTATAGACAGGTGTCACAAGTTAGAGGATGTACATAAGCTGATGCGAACATTCACGCACATGCACGTATGAGCACACCCACACTTCCAGCACAGGCTACCTGAAAACATCGAGGCCATTGACACTGAGAGTCCGTTCTTTGACATGTGAGTCAGGTTAGATCCTTCGCTACCATCTGTGATAATGATTATAAAAGGGGCCCTTTAGTATTCAGACAGGAGGTAAATTGATGAGAATGACAGTTCTGTACCACATGTTCCTAGAATCAGGACTTAACATTGCTCCAAAAAATGAACTGCTTATAGGATCACATCCACAGGTGGGCACTCAGTATATCCTGGAACACAGTCATTGCAGCTTCCCCAAATCAGCCTGGCCTTAAAGACCTCGAAGGTAGTGGTTCTCAACCAGGGGAGATTTTGCACCCTTGCAGATATTTGGGTGCAGGCCGGGGAGGAAGCTAAACATTCTATGATGCATTGGACAGTCTGTTACAACAAAGAATTATCTGGCCTAGAGGTTGAGAGACCCTCCCCTAAAGTCTTTTCCTTTAAGGATTTCCATCCTGAGCTGACCAGAGTTAGCTGCCTAAACAACTCCTGTGGGGCCACAAGTGTGACAACAGCTTCCCATAGGAATGCATTCCATGCCTCCGCCACAGGCTGTTTCGAATGGGGTTCCTTCCAGACTGAACAGCTTCCCGGGGCTCCCTGCTTTGCTGCAAGGAACACTTAGGAGTCAAGTGGGCTGCTCCACACGTAATGAAGCAGTGTTTTGAATTTACCTTAATATTACCCTCGTGAGAATCTGCTGATCCGAGAGATAGGGCAGAACCCTTTATTTTTTTCTAATTTGGAGATCAAGTCAATCACAGATTGTGGTATAAGAAACTATATAGAGTTGGTCTCTGCTTAGTTTCCGGCATAGAGCTCCTAAAATCTTGGCAATTTCCAGAGTGATACGAATGTCTTTTGTTATTCATAATGAGTCCCTTTCTGTTATATCTGAATTTATGCTAATGAGGTAAGCTTGGGGAGCATCCAGATAACTTCAGGATGGGGCTGGTTGCCGGAAGAAAAACCAACCACCAGGTTAGAGGATTAGAATTTTTAGTCCCTCCCCCATTACCCCCAAAAGGGAGAGGGACTGCAGATTGAGTTCGATCATCAATAACCAATGATTTAAGCACTCATGCCTACCTATGGAATGAAATCTTGATAAAACACTGACACTGGTGACTGTCAGTGGAAGAGCTACCTGGTTGGTGAACATACTGATGGACTGGCAGTCTGGCCCACCCTGAGTGCATGGACACAGAGGCTCCTGTGCTTGGGAAACTGGGTCCTTGCCCTAAGTACCTCTCCATCTGACTGCTCATTTGTATCCTCTATGATAAAAAGTAATCTTAACTGTAGTGTTTTCCTGAGTTCTGTAAGTCATTCTAGCAAATTATGGAAACTGGGGGTCGTGGAAAACCCCTGAATTTGTAGTTGGCTAGGGAAAAGAGCAGGTAACCTGGTGAACCCATTTGTGGTTGACATCTGCAATGGGAGTATTCTATGGGATTGAGCCCTTAAACTGTGGGGTCTATAGTACCTCCAGGTGTTCATGTCAGAATTAAATTGCAAGATACTCGGTTGGTGTCAGAGAACTGGAGAAATATTGGAAAACCACATACAAAAAAAAACCCCAAAATGGAGTTTTAAGTGGTGATTATTGTCATGAAATCAGATATATTAAAGAGAACAAAGAAGGAAGACTACCTAGAGACCTGGAAAAATATGTCTAAAAATTGTATTTCTGAATGGGGAGGAAATCCAAGTACCACTAGGTACTTCCAATATTACTATTGGAAGACTGTGCAGGTGAAAAGTAAATTACCTCAATTCTCTAGATTGATATAAACAGATCTATAAAAAAAGATCTATTCATCATCATCTTACAATGGGGAATTACAGATACAATTCACTTCTATAAGAAAATAACTCATGGAGGAAAACTTATGTCCCAGAACTGCTTTTTGGTTTATTTGTTGCACTGATGGGAACTTGAAGAAATTTATGATTTGCAGTAATGGATTAATCCACTAATCATGGGCTAACCTGATTTAATGCAACTGCCTTCCCAGATTAGACCCCTTCCCCTTCTCTGTGCATATACTTACAACAACTACTACTACTACGACAATGAGGGTCTGTGATTCTGCTAAGCAAGTAGCACTGATAGAACAGAATAAAGCTCTACTTCCTAAACTTCATTTTTTTCCCCGTTTTGCTTTCTCCCCCACAATGACTCTTTTTGTCCTTTTCTCTTGGGATTATAACAAAGCTCCTTTTAAACACTTTGAAACAATTTTGATTGTGTTTTGGAACACAAGAGAATAGGATTCTAATTTCAAGCAGGTATGGGCCAGCCCTAGGCTGTAAATAGGAGAAATCAGAGTGAAAATCCAAGAGAAAGGTGCAACTGAGACCCATCAAGGTGGCTCCAGCAGCCAGACCACTCTGAAGCACTTCCTTTCAGTGTTCTCTGCTGCTTAAATTTTACTAAAAGGGTTTTGTTTTTGGCAAGAGAGGCTGTCTCTTACAACTACTGACAACGTTCCAAGATGGGCCATATTGAAGATTCTCTATACTTAGGGAAAGCTTCTCAGTCTATGACTTCAAACTGAAAGAAACAGGTAATGAATGTGGCTTGAAATAGCGTCACTCCTTACCTTGGATTTCAAATTCATCAACCTCGTCCGCAGAGCCAGAGTCAGAGAACTGCGTTGAATCACGTGAACTAAACTGGGAGCTGCTAGAAATGACCCGAAAGCCTGCTATGTTTAAAAAAGAAAGAAAGGTAATAAGTGGGACAGAAGGAGGTTACCTATTCCAAGGGTCATAATGAAAGGCACCTGGTATGCCTTCAACAGCAAAGGAAATAGAACCTTGGCCAGGAGTGATGCTGGGGGAAATGGAAACAGCTCTTCTTGCTAGGTGTCCCCCATTTTATTCCCCAAATTTTGAAAGTTTCACAGAAACAGGAGATACTACTGTCTCAGAAGTGGCTCTGGGACCAGCAATCTTAGTTCTTATACTGGAAACCTATTTTTTGGAAGATATTTCTGAAGTAGGAAATGGATGAACTCTAGGACTCTGGGTCTGACAGGAAAAAAAATTAGAACAACATAAAAAAAAAAAAAAATCTTTCTGACACCAGAGGAACCCTTGGCTTGGTTACATCTCAAAGACAGACAAGAAAGGAAGCACACAAGGAACCAAGTCTTAGCCTGAAGCCCTGCAGCAGCGGAAATAAGGTGCTCGAAGCCCCACTCACTTCCATGCTCAGTCTCCTGGTACATGGGGAGCAGGTTTTTGGTGCGGATCTGCTGGCGCCTAAGGCGGATCTTCTGCTTCAGTTCCTGGATTTCTCTGTCGCTGTCCTCCTCCTCTTCCTCCTCCTCTTCTAGGCACTGGCTCATCATGTTACACTTCATGAGCTCGATGGCGGCAATCAAGGACTCTGAGATGCTGAAGTGCGCATTCTCCTGGGGGAAGGAGAGCACCAAAGAAGCTGATGAGTGAGGGGCTTGATGTGTTGAACCCCTCACTGGTTGGAATGCTGGAAAGCAGAGCTTCTAACACACACATTGCTTTCATTCAAAACACTCAGGGTGAACAAACACGCCAAAAAACTGTTCTACTTCCTCTTTGCTCTCAAACCTGCTATGCCTGGCCTTCCTGTCCTACTTTCTACATAAAACTATGACAGAGAAGACATCCAGAATTTGGTATCTTTCTTTTTAGGTCTTCCCTAAAGCCATACCCCTATAGACAAAGCATTAAGGTAAATGTAATAGCTCAGGATAAAGTGCTTTATAAGTTCTAAAATGCTACAGAGACATTATTCATTACATATCTGAACATATTAGAACAAAATAGAGAAGCTGATTCTGGAAACAGCTTTGACCTAAGTTCCAGGGTCAAGGAAATGACAACCACGTGGCTAAAATTCAATACTTCCCAAGGCAGCTTCTAACACAAAATTAGTAGTATTTTGGACTTAGGGAGGAGCAGATACTCCCTGCAAAGTTCTCTAGAGACTGAACTTGTTGAGCTCATCTTTACTCTGAACTCACTTTTACCTGTGGTCTTTGCTCATCTTCCTGCTCTGTATCCAAAACCTCTTTAGAACAAATGGCCCCACAGCCCCTCAAGCCAGATGCCCTAACTCACGAGCTCTTCAGTGTCCCTTAGACTCCTCACCTTTTCCAGGTCTGCACAGCTTCCAAAGTCTTGCTCAGACAGATAGCTGATGAGGGACTGTCCTTCTGATGGTCTTCGGAACATGCCCTCCCCAGAGCACAGGTACTGACCACCCTCTGTGGGAAAACAGAATGTGGATGTGAAAAGCTCTGACTTGGAAAGCAAATCAGTAACAGACAAGCTTCTTAAGAAGTCTGATGATTTTACCACTAGAGACACTCCCAAGTTCTCCCGGGTAACAGGTTGGAAAGAAGATGTCTACCTTCTAAAGGAATTTCTAAAGGAATCTCAAAATCCCCAAGCACTAAGCCTCTTGGTTAAAGAACAGAATAAATGAAGAGAGCCCAGAGACAATCCTTTTGCCATCAAAATGTAAGGATGACACACTTGGCCTCCTACCCTACAAAAAAGGAAACAAAAAAACCTGTGCTGAGAATCAGACAGGGGAACAAATAGCTTCCTCCTGTGGATGATTTCCATGGGGAGCTTATCCTCTGGTAACTCAGCCTCAACACTCAAAGCTTCTTTTCAAGGTCCCTCTCACCCACTCAGAGAGCCATTCCATCTGGAGCGACAGACATTCATAGTGATAACACCCACAGCCTAAGAGAGGGTGGTACCCCTTATGTCAGAAAGGAGCAAGAGAAATGGCAGGGCTGTGTGATTTCTAGCATGGTGGCTATAAATGATGAAAGGAAGGGTGAGACTGTACGGTGCGTACCCTCCACGGAGCCGACGTGAGCCAGACAGCTCAGAGCTTAGCAGGCACGAGGGGAGAGCCAAGGAAAGACACAGCTGCAGCCCTGGCCTTCCTAGTACTCACCATACTCCATGTACAGAGAGCTGGGTGTGCTGACTTCACTGCTTGGGCCAGAGTAGGGCAAGGGGCCTCTCAACTTCGACTTATCATTGCAGGATTCTAGTGTCAGTGACCACCAGGGAGTAAAAACACACATACGAGGTGAGCAACACATACATTCCCAACTTAGGAGTTTCCACATTTAACTGCTCCCATTCCCAATGCCCTCCCACGCAGGAGAGAGGTGGCACACCAATGGGGAACAGTCCAAGAATGCAGGAACACACATGGAGGAAAGGAGATGGGGACTCAGTATATTCTAAGAGGAGAAGAGAAAACATGACCCAGAATGCAGCAACACAAAGGTAAAAAAGAATCAAATCAAAATGGACTCATGAATTCAGTTCTTTTTTCTTCCACCTTCTTACCAAATGTTCTAGGAATATTGGCCAATTTCCATCCTCTTGACAAGAACCAATGTAGAAAACAGTCCTCATATGGTAAAACAAAGGTAGGTACACTGAAACTTTTCTGATACCTTGACACTGGGCTTTTAAACAATCTCAGAATGGTTACACTAGGAAGACTAGGACACAGCCTCTCTTGAACCAGAAATGAACCTGAAATTTGTCATACCTATGTATTTAACCCGCTTCTGAATTAGAAAAACAAAATAAAATCCAGCAATTTCCTTAAAAGAAGCATCAAGAAAATGCTCGAGAAGCCAAGGACGATGGCCCTATATCCAAACGGCTTGGCCACAGGGCTGCACGCCCAGCCTTCCTGGAGAAGGAAGGGAGAGGTTTCAAGAGAAGCCTGGCAAAGTCGGAAGTGGTGGGGTAGAAGTTTTCAAGGAACAATGAGAGGTTGGAGTAGAGAAAGAGAGGCAGGCAGGGCTCGCAGAAATGAGAAAATGATACTCTCCAAAGGAAAACACAAAATTCCCAGTGCTACCTAAGGAAGAGCAGGCAGAAAAGCAGGTGGGTGCCTGGGAAATGGGCAGGATGCTCTGGAGAGGGAATGACTGAGCTGTATCCAACCCACATCCCCCAGAGATGGTGCCAGCTTGTCAGCTGCTCCTCTTATTTAAAAAAAAAAAAAAAAAAAGCTACTATGTGATAAGAGGTAACTTTGTGTTTTCCTTGGGTCTCCAAGATTTCTGCTGGTCCTGGCAGTGGGCTCTCCTTCTCACTACTAAAGACAGACCAGCAGTCACCAGGATGCCTTGGTAAGAAACTATGACTTAGAGGGGACCTTTGGGGTCCCCAATAAAATTTAGTGCCCAACACAAACTCCAACACCAGCACCATATTCCTTTACAACATGTAAAGGCCATCCAGCCTTTGCTTCCTGAGCTAACTACCTCCTGACATTGCTCCTTTAAGTGAGCAGCTCTGATTCTTAGTCCTCACACTCACTTGAGTCTTCTTACAATTTCTCAGCTCCTTAAGCACAACAATGCTCTTCCAAATAGTGGTCCTATCAACCTCCTCCTCTTTAACTTTCCCCTTTCCAAGCTAATTTACTCTGTGGCTTCCCCAGGAGGCCACAGCTCTCAGCCCTCCCTCCCTACTCTATCGTGCAGACATATTCTACTACTACTATCTCCCTGAACCCAGAACTGAACACAATATTTAATTTGAACACCACCAGGAAAACCAAAGAAACAGACTTAAGTCACTAGAAAACGCCTGTGCAAAAACGGGAATGGGGGTGGGATGGGACTTATGGAGGAAGGAAAACAGGTGAAAGAAAAAGGAAATGGGACTCTGGGAGAGGCAGAAAACATGCATCCACATCCAAGACCACAGAAAGGGGGGAAAACACATTCTGGTGTTAATTCAAGGAAAATAAAGTAAGCCATAGTAAGTACTCAGTTATTAAAAAAAAAATTCTCCCACCGATTCATCATGATGCCTTAGACAAATAGCAGGCTTCGGTTTCACCTTCAGGCAAATCAGGATTGACAAATCTTGACTCTGCCTCCCAGAAGCTGTTGGGAGACTGACTGAGGCGTCTGGAAGTCATGGGCAGAAAATGTAGGATGCAAAGTATCGGTGGCATCTCAGAGACAGGTCCAAGAACCGCAGCAGGATTACCCAGCCTCGCCAGACTTGATTTGACACCAGAACGGAAAAGGAGGTTCTGAACTAAGCAAGATGGGCACAGAGGAGGAGGAGGTGGCAGACAGAAAGGACTGGCTCCCAAACCTGCAATGGGATCTTCAACTATAATGGTGATATTCCTGGGGCCTCCTGTTCGTAGACAGACAGGTGCAGAGAAGAGTCCAAACAGAGGAAATGAGAATAGAGTGAGAAAAAGAGCGTCCTTTTATCTAGCGGAGGTGGGGACTTAACCCCCAGGAGGGAACCGTAGTGCTGAAATCCTCAGCTACCGAACTGAGGCAGCTGACTCAAAAGAAGCTACGTGCGACCCTCTCTCCCTCAGACCCTTTTGCTTAGGTTTTCTCTGGCTCCCCTTTCCAATGCAGGTTACCGTGGTTTCTGGAATCCATGTGGATTCAAGAACGGGGGCAGGGAAGTTTTCCATGCTCAAAGACCAGGGGCCTGGGCTACACAGACAGCAGGCCTGCAGCAGGAGATGTGAAGCGAGGAGCTAACCCAAGTACTCTTCACATCTAAGAAAGTTCGTGGGAAGACAGGCTTTGATATGGAGATTTTTTTTTTTTTCCTAGAGAGTTCCAATAAGGCAAACTACATCTTGAATGGAAAACAGAAAAAAGTTTGTCACTCACAAGTTTCAGATGAGGGCCTCAGATCTCACCTTTCTAGAAATTATAATGAGAAATCAATGGCAGCTCCAGTTGCTACAGGAAATCTTCCTCTTTTTAAATTTTTTTTGTATTTTATTTCTGGAGCTTTCCTACCCAGAACTGGCTTTGAGCACAGAGATCCATGTTACACTTGCTGTTATGGAAGTTTTCCTACAAATGAAACCCAATCAAAGCCTGCCAGACACTAACAACCCATGACAGAAGATGGCAGGGAGATGGCCAAAGCAACGAGCCCGATGGCAGGGAGATGGCCAAAGCAACGAGCCCCAGGTCTCCCCTGCTGAGGGTGCCCTCTGCTAGCAGCTGGCGTTTGCATGAGGATGGGCTCAGTGGCCAGGGCCTCCTTACCAGGCTGCCTTCCAACCTGGATTAGTGATGCAACAGTTAGCCCCCGCAACTGGTTTCCTCGGTCCCATCATCCCACACTCATCTATCCTAGTTTTAATGAGGAAACCCCAAGATCACTTTGCCTCTCTCATATTACACCTGACCGCATTTCTCAGGAATCACAGAAAGGGGAGGAATGTAATGGGATTATTTTCAAAGCTCCTAAGAATTTCCCTCTGTCTGAGAGAAACATTAAAAACTCAAACTGTGACAAGTCGCACTATCCCCTGATGCTAAGGAACTGCCAAAAGAGTCCAGGGAAACATTTACTATTTGGCAATGTATAAAGGAACAAACATCAATGTTCTCAGAGAGATCTCCTGGGTATTCATATCACACTATCAACTTTCCTCTTTCTTTATAAGCAGGACAGCCCACCATGTCATCAGAAACATAACTTACTAAGTAGAGGCTGGTGACGATCATTACCTGGGGCTCCTCTGGAGGCAATGTTGGTGTCCGAATGGGAGCGAGTGTGGCTCTTCTTTGTTCCGCTGGTGGCAGTGAGTGTCTGCCCCTCGGAGAAGCTGGACCTGCGAAGGACGCTGGACAGCTGGCTCTGCCCACCTCCCTCCTGCTCGCCTAGGGAAGAGGCAGCAGAGTCCGGCTTCTGCGAGCTGCTGGAGGAGAACAAGTTGGAGCTGCTGCTCTCAGCATTGCTGCTGTGACTCTGACAGCTGGCAGTCCGGCCTCGGGGATCCAGGTTGCCAATGGCCAAGTACTCAGGCCCCTCGCTGGCATCGCTTGGAGAATCATTCTGGCTGCTGACCTGGGATGCTTCTAGGGGGCTGGTCAGAGTGCTAGAGCTCATCTCATTTGGGGTTGAGGGGGGATCCCCAGCTAATGAGGAGACTGCAAGCAGGGGGGCTTGGAAGGTCTGATCCTGCGCTGGTGAGACATGCTCTTTGCTTTCTTGAGGTTTCCGGGGAGGGCCAGAGAGTGAAAAGGAAGTGGATCTTCTTTCTAGGATATAAAAAGGGGAGAAAAAGGTGAGCTGGAAAGCTCTGGTACATAGGAAGGACTTCTCGACAACTAAGGGCCAAACTCCCTATCGTGAATGGGTGCCCGGGACACCGGTACCACCTTAGAAAAGGCGCACCATGTGAAATAAGCAGAAATTGCTTAGAAGCAGGTAAGCTGGGTAAGGTAAGGTAAGAGCGTGGGCTCTTGACACAGTGGCTTCGGTGCTTCTTAGTGTACACTTCCCACCTATAAAATGAGCAATGACAACAATACCCACGGCAAAGGACTGTTCTGAGGATCAGATGAAGTAATACGTATAAATTGATTATAACAGAGCCTCGCATGGGGCGAGCCCTCAGTAAGTGTTAGCTATTATTACTGAAATACCTTCTTGGCAATGGGGATTAGAAATCCAGGGGAATCTAAAAACATCTCTCTTTCCTCTACTACTTTCATGATTCTGCTAAATTACCTTAGGCTAGTTACTATACAACTTCTTAAGATATCCACTATCAACACATGGAATGTGACCAAACTGCACCAACCCACAGCTCTATCTAGACCTTTGTGCACCCACAAAGTTCCCTCCTTTCCGGGGCTGGGCATGCATGTCCTGACTACCCCTTCCTGCCCCCATACCTGAGCCGTGGTTGGGTGCGGACTGGTGGAGGCTAGAGAAGGACCCAAAGTAGGGATGCTGAGCGTAGCTGGTTGAAGTCGTGCACGTGGATCCAGGCAGAGCTGTCAGGCTCTGGCTCTTGGTTACCAGCAGCGGGCTCTCATGCTTCCGGGCAAACTACAAAACGAACGTGTCCGAGCTGAGGACAGAGGCCCTGTGAGGAGGAACATTCGACCCCACAGAAATGCTGGGAGAAGCTGATCTTTGGCGGCAGGCTTGGAACTACAGCCAGAGCCCGCAGGTTGGACATAGAGCCCTACTGCTCTATTCGAGCACACAACTTTGAAACCTTGAAGTCCTGTGATACAGCACAGCTTCTGAAATTGGAACCCCAGGCGGGACACGGGGAGCGCTTTACCATGGAAGCAATACAACAAAATTCTTCAGACTATGCACATAGAGTCAGAAATCAGATCAGTGTTCATGTTCAGACCCTACTGCTTACCAACTTGGAGCAAGTGACTTACCTGCTCTGTCCCTCAGCTGGCTTCCTTTATAAAATAAGATTAATATCTCCCTTATAGAGTCATGAGAATTCAGTGGATGACACATGTGTTCCAGGCACACAGAAAGCATTTAATAGGTGGTAACTAAGAATCAAAATTTAAAAACCACGAGAGAGAGGGGCTCCCTCCTGAAAAGGAGCCGGGACTGTGATTCCATTCTAGCTGAGGCACTGATATTAGTGATGGGGTAAGTGAACTGGACGGTTAACAATAAGCAATATCAAGTAACAAAATTTTCTTTATACTTCAAGGATGAAAATGGTCCTGTGTCACACTAGGTCCTACCAGGTAGGACACTCTACAATCCTACTCTGGATTCAATCCTACCCCTCATTCAAAATCATCCTCTTCCCCTGGCTTGTCAAGCCTGCCCTTACGGAAGCGCTTACTCAGGCTACGGATTTTAAAAAAGGATTTAGAAAAAAATAGACACCTCCTTCCTTAAACAGACTTTATGCTTAGACTTTTTACTTCAGTAGATACTTAATGGTACCTCCCCTTCTTCTGCAAGTTTTTTTTTTTTTTTAACAAAAGCCTTTCAGTTCACAACTGCCTAAGCAAAGAAAGAGTTTGCTACAGAAGGTTCTATCATGGGGAGGCCCAGGGACCCAGCACAGACAGAGATCACTCCTTGCCCCCTTACCATAGATGCATCAAGCTGAGCCAGGAGGCGGGGGTTGTTCTGTTCCACGGCTTCCAGGCATTGGAGCATGGCCGTGACGTGGGCATTGCTTAGCAGGAAAGCAGTGTCTGGGGAGAGAAATGCTACCATTGCAATGGAGCCCAACAGGGAGATCTTTAGCTTCCTTGTACAGCCTGGGAGAGGCTCAGGGAAGGAAAGACACAACAGGTGAAAATGACTTAAGGAGAATCACGCCACTGCAGGGAGAAGAGGAATCAGGGATACATAAGTACAGGAGAGGCTAAGTGATACACACGCAGTGTAGGAGAGGCCATGCCCAGAGGCTTCAAAGTCACAAAGTCCCAGATTTGAATCCTGGCTGTAGGTGACTTGGCCTCCCCAGGCTCTGCTTCCCTGGTCGGAAAACAGGGGTACGAATACCCAGCTCTCAGGGCTGTTGGGAGGGGTGCATGTATCAACCCAACATTACAGTGGCTGGCACCTAGAAAACTCGGAGTAAATGGTGGTGGTTCTTATCGGTTTGCACCTGTGGGAGTCGGGGAAGACCTTGGATTCCAGCTGGACTGTGTTCTGCACAAGAAGGAGAAGACCAGATGCATCCTTCTGATTAGAATCTCTGTTTCACCAAGTGAAAGTATCGGGCCCTGGGGGGGAGAGTCAGCCTCTCGAGGAAGAGTAAAGTGGAAGAGATGGAGAAGAGTGTGCGAGGATCCTGGGTGAGGGGCCTCCACGTACCAGTGTAGAATTTTCTGATGTACTGCCTGTCCCCCAGCAAAGGCCGGAGCTGGGCAGAGAGACAGTGCCGCTGCAAACTGTGCTGCAGCCACAGCTCAGCCACGGCGCGCCCGCTGTCACTGTCCCCGCTCTCACCATCCGCACCGCTCTCGCTGTTCTCATGCAGGCTGATGAACTGGGAGGCAAGGAGGCATGGGTCAAAAGGCGCATCCTGATAAAGATGGCAAGACTGAGGCCTAAGGACCCGAGAACTAAATGGAGACAGGGAAGAGGCAGCGATCAGAGGGACTCTGCCTCCAGGGAGCATCTAAAAGTTACAGAGGGAGGACAGGGGAGGAAGGGATTAGCGGCCCCACTGCTGGACTAGACCACTGGAGAAGATTGAAGCAGTTGTGACCTGATATGCAGCTCTAGGAGAGGACAAAGCTGCTACATATGTCTCTTTATGTTCTAGATCTGAAGAGACATCTAGCCTGCGGTACTCAGAGGAAGGATAAACTTGACCTCTTGGCTGCTCTCACAGAGTCCTCCGTTTCAGGTGGTCTATGGAAAATAATGCAACAAAAACCTGGGGGGAAAGGATCTGGGAGGATGTCACCTAAGATTCGCCACCAAAGAGAAGCCATCTGAGCATCTCGTTTGGCTCTAGTCATAGCATTCTCTATTTGGAACCTCCTTCTACTTGGCTGTTTCTAAAAGTAAGGTCTCACAGGCAGCTTCTAAGAAGAAACAACCACAGCAATATATTTTAGAAAAGGAAGTTAGCTGGAGGTGAAGGGGAGGGGTGGTAAGAAAAATTATGTGAAAAGGACAAAGACAGTCTATGTAAGAAAACGACTGGGCTCTGGATTTTTCTCACAAAAAGAGGCCGGTCTGACACCTTGTGATTTGGTTCCCCAATCTTTTAAAAACAAATTATTCTTCCTGACATCATCTCAGCAATGAACCTGGCAGTGGGTGGGATATACATGAAACAAAACTGGCTAGATATTGATAAGTATAACAGATAGATATTTCAGGGTTCTCTTAATTTGGTATATATTTAAAATCTTCCATCATGAAGAGTTAAGTAAATATATACATACATTAGGCAGTGATTGCTCTGGAACTAGCTGGCCAAGTCACTAACCTCCACGAGCTGTTACCCTGATCAGAAATCTCAGTCCCGCTTCCCCAACCATTTCAGGGAACCTCTTGACATTTTCCTAGGATTTTGAACAGCTTCATTCTGATCTTAATATGCAGATCTTTTAAAAATAACAAAGCTTTTTCACCCCTTCCCCAGAGGAGAGAAAATGGGTCTCGGGCAACGGGTCTAACGGGGTTTATTTTTTAAGGCAAATAATCCTCCCTTCCAAATTAGTCCTACAGGAATAACTTCCTCAGTTAATAGGAACCTTGACACACACCATCTTTCTAGCCTAGGAGACTCTTCAGACAGAACATCAAACAACAAAGCCTTGTGGTTACTTTTCCTTTCTTACCTTCTCCACATGAAGGGCTGAGTGGGGACTGAGCCAGCGGATGTCCTTCACAAACTGCCAGTAATCAGTCTGGCGGCAACAAACCTGCTGTGGGAACATACAAGGTGAAGAAATCACTACCACTTTAGACCAAATCTAGTTCTGGTGTTGACATTCAAAGACAGAAGGGAAAAAAAGTCTAACCTTCCCTGCCTCAACTAAGGTTCTCAGCAGCAATCAGGAGATAAACACCTGTTCACCCTTTTTAAGGATAATGTTAAAACCATTTTAAAAAAGATTTTATTTATTTATTTGACAGAGACACAGTGAGAGAGGGAACACAAACAAGGGAAGTAGGAGAGGGAGAAACAGGCTTCCCATGGAACAGGGAACCCAATGCAGGGCTTGATCCCAGGACTCTGGGATCATGACATGAGCTGAAGGCAGACACTTAACAACTGAGCCACCCAGGCGCCCCCAAAATCATTTTAATTGTTCTTTTGATCAGCTAATGCATGTATATAACATAGAAGGTCACACAATGAAAATAACCTGATTTCTCCCTTATCTCTCCACCATTCAGCCCTAGAAGGTAAATCTTAAAACTAGTGAAGAGTTTAAGTTATTTGTTAAAAATCAGAGATGTATGTCTTCAGTTCTTACTGCAAAACCAAGTAAGGAAAGACCTGCTTTTCCCATGCTATCCAGATCAGGAAAGGGCTGTATTTAGAGTCAAAGAAATGATCGATGCTAGATAAAATAGTCTCATACTGGAGAAGGCCTGAACTGGAGAAGGCAAATGTTTATACTAGGAAAATCTAATTCTTATTTTTTGAGAATCCGTTCTAAGATTACTGGGCACAGATTAAAACTGAAATCTAAATAATTGAGAAGTACAAACCTAGCACAAGCATTAAGAGACAGACTAACCAACATTACAAAACAAACAGCCTAGAAAGAGTCCTTAAATTGAAACTTAATATATGACCCAAAAAGCAACTGAATTGTCATCTCAAATGGGTGGGTTCTCACCTAGACTGGTAAAGCAAAAGTGATAATAAGAGGTGTCAAATGTACAGGCTCTTTTGCCAGCTGGAGTCATGGATATCTTTAAGATCTTGGCAGCAGTGTGGCAGTGTTCTGATCTCTGTTCTGTGGCTTAGTGAACACTGAGTGGCCAGGGATGGGCAGCAGTGGAATATCAACTCCAGCATGTCCTCTGGTTAGTTACATCTATGTGAATAGGATCTACACTTGGTTTCCCTTCTTTAGATAAAATTCTAGGCTAACTCAGAAATAAAACTGGGGACATCACTATAGATATTATGGACGTTACAGAGGAATACTATCAACAACTCTACGGTCACTAGTGTGACAACCTAGGTGAAAGAGATCAATTCCTCGAAAGATACAATCTGCCAAATCTTACCAGGAAGAAATAGATAACCTAAGTAGGCCTATATCTCCTAAGAAAAATGGAATCAACAATTAATAACTTTCTAAAACCAAAAGCACCAGGCCTAGATAGGTTCACTGGTGAATTCTACTAAACATTTAATCATGCCAATTCCCTATAGTCCCTTGAAGAAAATACAAGCAGAGGAAAATACTTTTCCAAATCATTCTACGAGGCCAGGATTATCTTAACACCAAGACCAGGGAAAAAAAACACAAGAAAATTATGGATCAGTATCTCTCATGAACATAGATGCAAAATTCTCAAAAAAAATTAGCAAATCAAATCCAGAAAGAATTATACACCATGACCAACCAGGATTTACACCAAGTATGCAAGGCTGGTTCAACATTCCAAAATCAACACATCAAATCACATCAATGGAATGTGATGGTATTCATTACATCAACAACTAAATAAGAAAAAAAAAACAAACATGATCATATCAGTAGATGCAGAAAAAGCATGTGACAAAACCCAACACCCACTCATAATAAAAACTCTCAATAAACTAAAAATAGAGGGAAACTTTTTCAAATTGATAAAGAGCCTACAAAAACCTATAGCTATCATTATACTTTAATGGTGAGAAGCTCACAGTTTTTCCACTAAGATCAGGAAAAAAGCAAAGGTGTCTTCTCTTTCCACTACTTTTTAACATCTTTCTTTTTTTAAAAAGATTTTATTTATTTATTTGACAGACAGAGATCACAAGTAAGCAGAGAGGCAGGCAGAGAGAGAGAGAGGGAAGCAGGCTCCCCGCTGAGCAGGGAGCCCAATGTAGGGCTCAATCCCAGAACCCGGGGATCATGACCTAAACCGAAGGCAGAGGCTTTAACCCACTGAGCCACCCAGGCTCCCCTCCACTACTTTTTAACATCCTAATGGAAGTCCTAACTAATGCATTAAGGGGGAAAAAAAGGACATAAAAGACAAACAGATTGGGAAGGAAGAAATAAAACTGCTTTTGTTCATAGATGACATGATTATCTAAGTAGAAAATTCTAAATAATCAACCCCAAAGTTCCTGCAACTAGTAAGTAATTATAGCCAGATCATAGGATGCAAGGTTAGTATGAAAACCAACCACCTTCCTATATATCAGCAATGAGCAAGTGGAATTTGAAAATAGGAACACATTACCATTTACTCTAGCACTCCCAAAAATGAGATACTTAGATATAAATCTAATAAAATATGTACAAGATCTGTGTGAGGAAAACTATAAAACACTGATAAAAGCAAAGAACTAAATAAATACAGAGATAATCCATGTTCATGGATAGGAAGACTCAATATTGTCAAATGTCAGTTCTTCCCAACTTGATCTATAGATTCAATACAATCCAATCAAAATCCTAGCAAGTTATTTTTTGGATATCAACAAACTCATTGTAAAGTTTATATGGAAAAGCAAAAGACCCAGAATAGCTAAAACAATATTGAAAGACAAGAGCAAAGTTTTTCTTCAAAAAGGACTGATGGGGCGCCTGGGTGGCTCAGTGGTTTAAGCCTCTGCCTTCAGCTCAGGTCATGATCTCAGGGTCCTGGGATCGAGCCCCACGTCTGGCTCTCTGCTCAGCAGGGAGCCTGCTTCCCCCTCTCTCTGCCTGCTTCCTCCTCTCTCTGCCTGCTTGTGATCTCTCTCTCTGTGAAATAAATAAATAAAATCTAAAAAAAAAGGACTGACACTATCTGACTTGGAGACTTATATAAAGGCATAGTAATCAAGACAATGTAGTATTGGGAAAAAAACAGAAAAACCGATCAGTGAAACAGAATAGAGAGCTCAGAAACAGACACATAAATAAAATCAACTAATCTTTGACAAGAGAGCAAAGGCAACACAATGGATCAATGATAGTATTTTCAACATGGTGCTAAAACATTGGACATCCACATGCAAAAAAATGAATCTAGACACAGATCTTACACCTGTCACAAAAATTAAGTCAAAAGGAGCCATAGACCTAAATGTAAAATGCAAAACTATAAATCTCCTAGAAGATAACACAGCTAAAAATCTAGATGACCTTGGGTATGGTAATGACTTTTTTGATACAAGACCAAAAGGATGACCCATGAAACAAAGAACTGATAAGGCAGACTTCCCTAAAATTAAACACTTTTGCTCTGTGACCAACAATGTCAAGAGAAGGAAAAGACAAACCACAAACTGGGAGAAAATTTTTGCAAAGCCGCATATGATAAAGGGATGTTATCCAAAACATAAGAGGAACTCTTAAAAACACAACAATAAGAAAACAAACAATATGACTTTAAAAATGGGCCAAAGACTTTGACACCTTGCCAAAGATATACAGATATGTAAATAAGCACATGAAAAGACATGCCACATCATATATCATCAGGGAGATGTAAATTAAAACAACACACTACCACTATATACTTATATTAGAATGGCCCAAACCCCAAACAATGCCAACACTAATTGCTGGTGAGGATATGGCGCAAAGGAACTCTCATTCATTGCTGGTGACAGTGCAAAATGGTACAGCTACTTTGAACTTTTTTTTTTTCCTCATTTTTAATTTTTTTATTTGACAGAGGGAGAGAGAGCACAAGTAGGCAGAAGAGCAGGCAGAGAGAGGGGGGAAGCAGGCTCCCCGCCGAGCAGAGAGCCCGATGTGGGACTCGATCCCAGGACTCTGAGATCATGACCTGGGCTGAAGGCAGAGGCTTAATCCACTGAGCCACCCAGGCGACCCAGTTTAGCTACTTTGGAAGACAGTTTAGCAGTTTCTTCCAAAACTAAACATACTCTTGCTATAGTAAGTACTATGAATTGTGTAAGACTGATGAATCACAGACATGTACCCATGAAACAAATAATACATTATATGTTAATAAAAAAAGGAAAAAAATAACTATACTTACCAACTTTGAAAAAAAAAAACACCTAAATTAAACTAAACATACTCCTACCATAGGATCCAGCAATTACATTCCTTGGTATTTACCCAAAGGAGCTGAAAATTTATGGCCACACAAAAACTTCTATAAAAACTTGATGTCAAATTATGTAGAGGCAAAATGACTTTCAAAGTTAGAAGGAAAAAAAACTAAAAATGTTGGTTTTATACTCACATTATAGGATATTTAAATTGCCAGTCCAGCATAAAGAAATTAAAATCGTAAGTCCTGTATCACAGATTATGAGTACAAGGTATTCAAGAAAGATGATATGAAACTTCATCAGTGGCTCCATACTCCCAGAAAAGGTTTTGGCTCTATTATCTAAAGACTGTTGAACAAATGTAATTTTAGATGTTTTAAAATAAAATAAAATGTGTGAGTGACTCCTTAACTGCCCTCACTTAATCAGAAAATGATTCAGATCACATTGTATAAGATTTTCCTGTCCTTATCCAAAAATGATGAAGCAGTTAAGGGGTAAATAGAATGACAAATGTTTGAATGTCGGGGGAAAAAAATCAACAACATATGTCTTTGTACAAGTGAGGGGCTATTCCTACCATAATGAAAAGCTACAATAATTAAAACTGAGTGGTGATGACACAAAATAGAGAACAAGAGACCATAATAAAAAACCAGAAATAGATGTGTGTCAAGAGAATTAAGTATATTCAAAATAAATTACAGATGAAATGGTTTAAATGTAAAAAAT